AAACAAGCAGATTTGCGGGCGGTCCCAGACACAGGCTGGGGTTTTTGTTTCATAAAGACATCTGGTAGGTGCTGCCCAAGCCATCCTCAGTCCTCGGGCTCAGCCTGGGACGGGTTTGGAGTGAAGTACTCGCTGCTTTGGCCGGAGCAGAGCAGGACCTTTGTTCCCAGCAAATCCCCTTGCCCATTAAATCATTTAGAGAGTTTAGCACTTGTCAGACGTGCTGCCACAAGAGCTTGAGAGGCTGGAGATCTCGACGTCCCATCACTAACACCAGCCATGCCTCGTGGTACTATGCAGACTCGGTTTTCACACCATTTTTACTGCTTAAAATGTTAAGGAAAGGTGTACTGGGTCGGAGCAGAGGTCCGTCTCGTCCAGCATCCTTCTCCAAAAGTGGCCAAAAGCAGATGCCTGGGGAAACGCCGGAGAAAAGGGCAAAGAGAGTGGCTGGGAGATAAAACAACCAGGGGAACTGAAGGCATTTGTTCTAGCAGAGGACTTGGGTAAGGTGGGGGGTTTTTTGTAGGATTTTTTTCTTTTACGCACAAATCCACGGTGCTCTCCATGTGCCAAAGCCACGGAACGGGAAAATAAAACTCTACCAGTTTCAGAAACGCTCCCTGTGCCTCTGCCAGGGTGTAAATAACTCCGGGGAGCCCGCAGCTTTGCCCTTGGCTGGCTGAGACTTTTGCTGGGAGCTCGGTGGGGAATCCTTGGCTGAAGGGAACGAGTCTCGTGCCCATCAGGCTGCCACTTTCAATTCCCTGGCTGTTTTTAACCCCATTTTTACCACGCCAAGGCTATGGGTGTCCTTTCCATGTAGTGGAGTAGGCAGATGCAGGTAAAGATGCATTACTGTCCCTTAAAGGGAAAAGCAGCTGGCTGAGCCTTTCATTAGACATCAGAGAATCCAAACAGGAGAAATTCGCCTTGAAGGCAGGCAAAACACAAAATCTCCCAGTGTCGGGGAAGTAGGAAGCCCGAGAGCCGTCGGTGGGACAAGCTACCCCTTCCCCTCGGACACGGCGTGCCGTGCTCCGCGTGGTTTCTCGCTCACTGGGAGCCCATCCCTGCAGCTTCAGGCTCGATGCGGCTGCAGGACATCACCTGTGGCACCAGCCTGGTTCCAGGTGTTGGTGTTTGGCTCAGCCCTATTTAATCACTGCCGGCTTCCCTGGGGTGAAGCACCCTAAGCAAGCACACCAGAAGTTGGCTAAACCCCAGCCTTCCCTCTGAGCTGGTGCTGGTGTTTGGTTTCTTTCTTCCTTCCTAACCAGGTAAATACTTGGGGTTTTTTTTGTCACTCTGGGTGGTTTTTAAGGGTGGCTGGTTGAAAATGTGGCTGTCACCTGGTGCTGGAGGAGCAAGGTGTTTGAGTTTGGGTTTCTGCTCCTGAGCAGACACCGGAGGGGAAAGCTAGGGCAGAGGGTATTGTGCCGGGTGGGAATCTCCCTCTCTGCTCCTGATAAAGCTGTTTGCAGTTGGGGTCTTTGCAGTGTGGGATAGATTTGGGCTGAAACTCAAATTTCTTGTGGGGAGAGGCATAGGCGATCACTCCTTTATTTCCCCATAGGAGCTGGCAAGGAGGAATGTGCTCTGTTGGCTCTGTCTTGTTTGTTTCTTTATGGTAATAAAAACCGAAGCAAGCTTGTACCCCAACAGAACACATTAAATTTGCCAAATCACTACAACACATCAGAGAAAAATAGTGCATTTGCCAGGGGGAAGTAAAAGACCAGGCAATCTGCTGAGAGCTGGGGGGGGTGACATCAGGCGTCCCTGAGCAGATGTGTCTCATTAAAAGGCAGGGGTTTATCACACAGTTGGCACCAATATAAGGGGGAAAGAGGGTTCTGACTCAGGGAGGGTGTGCTGGGAATCGACTGTCTGAAGGTGATGTGACAAGGGGCTGAGACCGAGGTTTTGGCCGCGTGCGGAGTGGATGACTCTGGAATAGCACGTCGGGAAGCGATGGTCCCGGACAATGGGCATGCGTGGACACGGTTGTTCCAGGATATGAGAGCGTTGTTCCAGTTCCCATTAATCCATTTAACCCTATGTTGCTGCTGCCCTGACAAAAGAGCATCCTGCTCTCAGGCTAAAGCAAACCAGCCTCGTGTATTAAATTCCCAGTGCAGGCGAGCCCTGGGGCTTGCACGGACTGATCCACCACCGGGCTCCTGCAGAAGGGGGTTTTTTACCAATGACAAATCCTGTAGCAGAAGCAAGTAAGAATAAACCTTGTTCAGCTTTCAAAGTGGGGTTTGTGTTGGGTGTGGTTTTTTTTTTTCCTTCCATTAATGAGCTGAGGCTGGGATCGCAGCAAGGCAAGAAGTGCTCTGCAGCCACTGACTAAACGACACGGGCGCAAGCGTTTTCCTCGGAGCACCGGAGGTAACTTTAAATACAGTTTTATTTCAGGTTTGCTATTGATGCACAAACAGCAGAGATCGATGTTTAGTATACATGGTATACACAAAGCAGCCAGTACGGTCGGCATCTCCGTCCTTTTGCTGCACACTCGGCAAAAGAACCACAACACAAGAAATCCCTCTGGCCCCATCCTTCACCCCTCCCCGGCCGTGAACGAGGGCGATGGTTTCTAGATGGCTTGGAAACCAGCTGTTGGATGGCAAGATGTGAAAGGGCAGCTCCTCGGAGCTCTGTCCCCAGATAAAAGCACGGCGTGCTCGGCTATGCAGGGAAAACCCTCTGAAAATGGATGATAATGTTCATGGGAGTGGAGACCTGGAAGGGATTTCCTAAAACAAAATCCCGTCCCCTGCTGCGCGGAGCAACCACAACATCTGCTCCTGGCTCTGTCGAGCAGCGTGGAGACTCAAAATATTATTGTGTTTAGAAAGGCATTGCATAAATCCAGGGAGGATGGGTCCGCAAACACTGTCACAAGGAGTTTGCGAAGCTGGTGGGAAAGGTCTAGCAAGGAAACGCTTGTGCTACCTCTGTCCTGTTTCTTGTGATCTTTCTAGCCTTGCCCCAGCTGGAGACCTTCTGGAGCAGATCAAAGGGCACGAGGAGTTTCCACACTATACCCGCACAGGATCAAGCAAGTAAGGTAGGCTCCAAGCATCTAGTAGCTGAGACAGCATCTTCTGCCTACCCATAGTCTCTGTCCCTACTGTCCTTTCTGCTGATCCCAGTAATGGCACAGCCTGACCCAGAGACTCTGGCTTGCTCACAGTCCCAGCTAATTAATTAAGAGGCACCTTCATCAGTGGGAAAAGCAAAAAGTGAAATGGTCCCTGATGGCAGGATCTGAGCAAGAGCCCTAAACAATGCGTTAAAGGGTCGTTGGGACGAGGGCAGTGCCTGAGGTAAGACAGCCTCTGACCACAACGGGCACGATGCTACATAACCATCAGAGGTACGGAATAAACCCTCGCACAAAACCCTGGAGGGGGAAGCTGGTTGTGGATGCTCTGCAGCAGCAACAGGCTCAGCCTCCCTCTTTCTGAAGCCCACTGAATCTCTTTCCCCCAGAAAAAGCCAAGACTCGAATTTATCTTCCACTCCCACAGCTCGAAAGCAATGCCAGGGAAGTCTTCCCAGCTCTGCTGGAGTTCAGCTCGGGATATCTCTGGGGGATTAATGCAGAGGAAAAATAACCTGACCTGGCGTAAAGGTTGGAGGGCAGAGGGCGGTGGGATGCCTGGGCACAGCGTACTGGTCCCATTAAGCAGCGAGCACCATTTCCAGAGCGGAGTCAAGTACCGGTGACTCGTGGGGCTGCGTCTGACCCCGTATGGCACCGCGCCGTGCTATTACAGTACAGTTGCTTGTTGCTTTTCTGGAGTGACAGCTCAGATCTCGGGTCCATAGTGATCCCTTGTAGCCCTGAAAAGCTTCAGATGGGTGGTTTACAACCTGCCCTGGACCGGGGTGTAAAGGGGCATCCAGCTCCGTGCTGGATGCCGGCACAGCCCGATCCCAAAGCACCATAGGAAAACCTCAGCCAGGTGAGAGAGCCCACTGGGGATAACGCCGTCCCTGCTACGTGAGCTTTACGTCCAGCGGGGAGGGAGGAAGGAGGTTAAAAAATACAGAGTTAAGCACCATGAAATCTACACTGGTCAGGTCATAAACACGAGGAGAAAATGAAAATAAAGCCACCACCTTCCAGCCTGGCCCGGGGATGCTGCTGGGGCTCTCCAGCCTGCCCAGACTGGGAATTGGTCACCAGCAAGTCCTGGAAGCATCAGTCCCTGTGAGCCCCAGCACCTCATCACGCTGGTGGTTGGACAGTATAATTTGCCATCGTTGCATTGCTAAATCCTTTTGGTCCCGTTTAGCACAAGTGTTGGGGGAGTCCGGGGAGGGGAGAGGTAGGCTTGGCCCCGGGGAAGACAGGGGAGGCTTCAACTGTGCAATTTCGGGGCATCCCTCTGCCTGTCCTCGGATACACCCCGGGCAGTGATGCCCCATCGTTTCCATCCGTCCCCACCCTGACTCCCAGCCTCCGCCGGTGGGTTTCTGCATCGTTCGGCAGCTTCGAGGTAGATGTTCATTCCTGTTCTGTCTCTGAGCGACCTGGTCTGTAAAATCCGTCTCGCCCAGGCACATGGGGTATGCGTGCTCTGTCCCCCACACCCAGTTTCTTTTTCTTCCCCCTTTTTCCTTTTTTTTTTTTTTTTTTCTTTCTCCATCCCTTATTGGATATGTGCTATGGACATCTTCCCTTCTCCCAATCCCTGGCTGGTGCTTGGCTGCATCCAGCCAGAGGGACACCATGCCCTTCCTTGCAGACACCCCTTGACCCGCTCAGCATGGTCTCAGGGTGCAAAAATCCAACTCCTGTGGCTTCCTCCGAAAATTGCAACTCTCCCGGGGCAGCAGGCGCCCGGTTGGGACCGAGCACTTCAGCGCCCGTCTCTTGAAACCCCGACCGCAGCTCTTGGAGCAGGGAGACC